TCCCTTCCCTTTCTCTTCTCCCATACTTCTATCTCCCTCCATTCCCTTTCTCTTCTCCCATACTTCTTTCTCCCTCCCCTTTCCTTTCTTTCTCTCCTCCTATACCTCCTTCTCCCTTCCTTTCCCTTTCTCTCTCTCATACCTCTTTCTCCTTCCCTTCCCTTTCTCTTCTCCCATACCTCCTTCTCCCTTCCACTTCCTCTTTCCTTGTCCCATACTCCTTCTCCCTCCTCTTCCCTTCCTTTCTCTTCTCCCATACCTCCTTCTCCCTTCCCTTCCCTTTCTCTTCTTCCATACGTCTTTTTCCCTCCCTTTCCCTTCTCCCATACCTCCTCCCTTCCTCTCCCCTTCCTTATCCTTAAATCACTTTTCCCCTTCTTCCTGTCCACTCTTCTTCCTCTTCCGTACCCCCATACCCTTTCTCCCTCCCTTCCCCTCTCCTCTCTCCCATCCTCCATCCCCTTTTCCCTCCCTTACCCGTCCCCCATGACACCTCTCCTATCCTGTCCCTCATGCCCTTCCCTTTCTCCTCTCTTCCCCCACTCCCTCCCCATACCCCCTCTCCCCCTTTCCCCTTTCCCCCATTCCTTTCTCCTTCCTCCTCTCCCTCTCTATATCCCCTTTCCCCTATTCCTCCCCATTTTCCCTTTCCCTCATTCCCCTCCCTCTCCCCCTTTACCTTTCCCCTATTCCTCCTCATTTTCCCTTTCCCTTATTCCCTCCCTCTCCCCTTTGCCCTTCTCCCCCCCCCTTTCCTCCTCTCCCCTCTTTCCCCTTTCTCCCCTTTCCTCCCCCTTTTCCTTTCCCTCATTTCCCTTCATCTCCCCTTTCCCCTCCCTTTACCCCACTCCCCCTCCCCCTACCCCATTTCCCTCCCTCAGAAACCTTTCCCCAGAGCCCTCCAGGATGTCGCGATATACAATAAAATCATTATCGTAAATGATTGCAATATCTCGGGCGGCGGGAAAGGCTTATGCATTGTTGCCGAAATCGCGAAGGTCGGGGAGAGTCGGGAAAAAGGGTGGTATGTCGGGGGGAGGGATTTCGGGGGCGGGCGGGGGGGGGTAATAAGGTGTGGGTGTGAAATAGTAAGTTCTCTTTGTCTCTCTGTATGTCTATCTGTCTACTCTGTCTAAATGTCTGTATATATTTATCAATTTATATATATGTATATATATATATATATATATATATCAATCTACCTATCTATTTATCTATCTATCTATCTATCTATCTGTCTATCTATCTATCTATCTATCTATCTATCTATCTATCTATCTATCTATCTATCTATCTATCTATCTATCTATTTATATATCCATCTGTCTGTCTGACTGTCACTCTCTGCTGAAAGGATTCACCCCCTAAATGAAAATATAAACACTAATTTGAAATTCAATCCCGGCCTGTAACATTGTTACTGTAACTAAAAGAAAAAAATGTTTTTACAGAATTCTTGACATGAAAAAAATCACCAAATTCCCTTACAACAAAGATTACATCGATAACGTTAATAACTATCATTGGCTCTCTTTACTGCCATTAGAGAAAATTGCGACCAAACAGCTGATGTCACCTTTGGAGTCGAGTATTTAGCTCGAAGAAAGTTTGGATTTCGGCAAGATGTTCTCGACAGAAATTACTGCTTCCAAATAACGGTTAGGTAAGACTTTTTTTTAGACTGTTAGATCTACCTAAGAGATTGTTAGATCTATCCTATTTTTTAACAGCGTACACCATAAACAAATACTTGAAGCTGAAATATACACAAATCTAGGATTATCTATACTACACTACATTCAACAACGAAAATTTAAGTATACTGCAATTGCTCCAAAAAAATGGTTTATTGAGATTCCATCCCAGGCTCGGTTTTCTCTCCTCATTTGACGTGAAATATTCGTCATGGGGTTTACTAGAGTCGAATATTGCGACGGTTGCGGTTTACACGACAGGAATTGAGCAGGCGGTAAACATTTGTCGAGTTGCCAGATGCATTCCTCGTACCTCGGTTATTTCCATGCATATTTGTAATCAAATTGGGTATCTATAACACAACACAATCCGTCATAAGATATCAAAAGCCATCTAGGATATTGTATTACAAAATACTATGCACCAGTCGAAAAAAAAGCAATAAAGTACAGCTAGCCATCACCCGCGGCCATTCCTATTAAATCAAAAGATTGGGTGGAATTTAGCGGCGTGTCTCACCTACGATCAAGAGACAGCTCAGAGAGGAGGATAAAACGATAACGAAATGATAAATAAAATAATAATGGTGAAATAGAAATAAGATGATAAATAAAAATAACCTAGACCTTTTGGTCATTAATCTTAGAAGCTCAAACATGAAGATCCTGACGTTATTAAACGCTTTGGAGGTGCAACGATAATATGATAATTAATTTGTTCTACACGCTTCATCTTGTACGAAACTGTTCCTGCAGCCTTTTAGTATAGAACAAGACCCCTTCTTAGGTTAGAAATACAATTTTCA